GGCTACAGCCTATATGCGTACATGGGATATTTCTACCCACCATCATGCCCCAAACTGAACAAAAAAGGGGACTGGCTAATTAATGAATGAATATCTTCTGTAAAATTCTTATCAATGTCATAAGTGTAGCTGCCAGTTTTGGCCGCCAATTTGTATTCCTTTCCTTTAAGTCGCACGCCGAATCTTTTTTTGACGCATAAGATGTTTGTGATTAAATTAGTATAGCTCCCATTCTCCACCCTTCCATGCAACTTGTTTGTAGTTGTTATGTACAAAGCTACACAATGGGCTATCTGTGCTCTGCCCAACACTGGTTTCGAAATCCGGTTTCTAGCGTTATAAATCTGCAGACATACCGCTGTACCACTGGGGGGCTCCATGCTACTATCTGGATCTTCAAACGTACTAAAAAAGATCCTTAGTTAGGACTTGACAGTAATTTAGGTTTTAAATTTAAGATTTAGCTTAATTGATTACATTTATGTCTGTCATTGCGATCAAGTGTCTTACATTTTAAGATTAGAAGGTTGGATAAAATTATGTAGCTAATTGCCATCCAATCATCAGTAGAAAGCAGCGAAAAAACTAAAAAGATCCAAGCAGTAGGAAGTCTTACATAAGGAAGGTGATACAACTACATGAATCCACCTATATAAGGTATAAAATGTCCAAATAAGTAATTCCAATTATTTCCCCAACAGTAAATTTTAGAAATTATTATTTATTGTGTATATCATCATTTTGTTTAAATCACTATTTTCAAATTGATATAAATCCTTTTTATATTTGTTATAAAATAATTAAAAATATTTTGTTAAAGTTTTCCCATCAAAGCCATTTATGTACTGATATATTAATATTAGATATGAAGAACTGTACCTAAAAAGCTGTGAATGCATAATACTCTGTATGACATTTGTTGGCAAAGTACTGTTTGGAGAGGGAAATCCAAAAATTTGAAATGTGAAATCATTTCTTGTATCATAAATATTAATATTACTATAATTAATCTTTATCTTAATAACTAAATACAAATAATGTACTTCAGTGTTTGATATAGAAGTGTTCTCGATCTGTAGAACTGTACGATAAATGTTACCAATATAATTAGTTATTACTGGATTATTAATGCAAATTAAATCGTCAATATATCTATATGTTAAATAAAATAATTCCGGATTTGAAAATTATTTATAAAATTAATTTCGTAAGAATAAAGAGATAAATTAGCAACACAACTTGAATAATTTGAATCCATCGGTATACCTACTGTTTGTTTAAAAATGTGCTTATCAAAATGAATATAATTATTATATGTGCAAAAACTGAATATGGTTTTGATATTATTAGCACTAAAGTTTATCTTTATGGGTAGATCTATAAATTGACTTATTAAAGAATTTATCACCATTACCAAATCATTAAGTGGTATAATTGTAAATAACGTAGTGAAATCGTTTGTTTGGACTGTATCTGCTAATTGTGTTTTATTCAAATTTTCCAGAATTTTAAAGACAAGTTCATTATTTTTAATTATCCAGAAATCATGTTTATCATTTGCATTTTGTTGTAATTTAACAAATAACTGATTCAATAACATGTTTAATAAAACTACAGGTTTTTTTTCAGTATAATATTTACTGAACTAGAAATAAAACGAAACTTAATTGGAGATGTGTTTTTGAAAACATAAAGCTTTTTGCTTATCTATACTTGAATATATCAAAACATTTTATTACCATCAATTAATCTCAAGCTTGAATCAGGAGTTAATGGCCAAAGCATGATTCTACAAAAGAAAAAAAGTTTCACTGAAAAAAAAGTTTTATCCCAGATCTACTTTTATTCAATCTAAATATTAAAATGCCATTTACCGTTTTGTTTTATACACGGAGCTATACTATTAAAAATGTGTGGCATTATACGACTTCAGGTTTTAGTTTCTCTAGCGGAAGTTGTTGTATACTGCTACTACTACTAATAGATATCAGAATGGTCGTAGTAACGCTGGGAAGGAGGATGTGTGTGTGTTGAAGAGCAACGTACTCGGTGATCGAAGTTTTTGCAGACAATATATATTTTGAAGAAGTAAAGGAACAAAAGTAACAGATTCGAAAACGTATACATCTTCATTTTAATAATTTGAAAAAATTTGACTTCTGGGAGGAACTTTAATAAACACGGAAGTGCAACTTCAAGGACAAAGGTGAGAAAAGTTTATGAATAGTTAAGGCGGACTACGAATATGATAAGATGTTACTATCACGATTTAATTCTCATATTTCCTTAGTTCACACGATCATTCATAGGCGTTGGAAGCAATATGAGTGTACGTGGGGCAGGCGGAAACTAGGGGAGTCATTCTTCGGAAAAGATTTACAAATTCCAATATTTAAGTCAATATAGGCAACAGTATAATGGAAATTATAGGAGTAAATACAAGCAAAACCAATAAAGAAATAAGTAATTTAATGACAGACTTGTATTTCATTTTTTTTACCTTAAGCCAAGGTTAAATTTAAATTGTTAATGTATAATTTCCAGTTTTCAGATTTAACTTAAAATATTTGTTTAAAGGGATAAAGTATGGTGAATCAATACCTAATTCATGTTTTGGAAATCGTAAACCTTTCAAAATTTACGAGGGATGTTCTGAAATGGCTTTACATTTTAAAGATGGGGGTTGGAAGGTCTACCATAGTAAAACTTTACAATTACAGCACACCAAGATCAAGTACAACATTAACAGAACACAGTTTTAGTTCTGTATTTTTAGAAAGCCAGTGTTGAAGTATTGAGGCAGATGTTAGCTTCAGTTGATTTGGCTGACCAAGGTAAAAGGGAATGATAAAAAATGTAAATTTTGAAACACAGTTTGTTTTTAATTCAGACTGGCATGTACTGTCAAGAAAGAAATAACTACTGTGAGTGTGAGGAATAGACTTAGATGTTGTAGAAGAGACATAATGGATAAAATAGGACATAAACGTTATTAGTTTAGGAAATTTGAATTAACAGCTAGGATGAAAGGTTTAGAGGATTACAGAAGTGTAGGAAAATAGTTAAAAAGGAAATTGGGACATCAAAAAAGGCTTACAAAATGCCAGTTAGAATGTAATGATAGAGTTAACAGTAATAGTTTCTTTAGAAATGATAAAAGATATGTAGAATGGGAATTGGACCATTGATAAAAGAGGGAGTTGTTTTTCATTTCTAAAAGTTAACAAATCAGCTTCTATCACGTCTGAAGGCAAGGTATTATGTGGGACTATTACTCTATTAGAAAAATAACACTGCCTTAGCTGGTTGATCATTAAAACTAATTGCAAGGTTTGGGCCCTTAACCTCTTCTGTAGTTTGCCAAAGATAACTTGGACACCCTCCTATTTTAAAAATAATTGCTCGAGTTAATTTGGACAATCCATTTCTTGCTGTATCTTTAATTATTTGTCCTTATCTCTATCAGATTTGTTTTGAATTTTGTTTCATAAACACTTCAGAAAAGCATTCATATTTATTACCTATAGTTTCATTGAAATATAATGTATCATATTAATACATAAGCATAGGCTATCAAAAAGTGAAATAAAAACTTTTTTTTTAGCTCATTTCTAAAAAAAATTGACATGGAAGGGTTAAAGGATATGACAATCAGTTTTTCTTTTCAAAGATTATGAGCTAGCTGAAGTAATATATTTTTACAAGAGAATTTGCTACAAATATTCCTGACCTGATCATTCTTTGAAAAATAGCAAAATTAACCTGCAGCATGCATATATATTAATTGTTTGATGGTAAAGAAATAGACAGACAGATTAAAAGTAAAGAACCAGTACCAGACAGTTTTTTCAAATGGTTTTAATGGAGATCAAATATCAGATACTTGAGTATCTCTCTCTTAAGTTTTTAGTACATAAATATACATCGGTTAGGTGCTTGAAGGTAGGATAGTTACTGACATTACTTATAATTTTAAACAGGACTAGAAGAGTGGCTCTGAAAACTTTAGGCCAGTTAATCTTACTTCTGTGATAAGATAAGTTTTGAAGAGTCTTATAAAAGAAACTGTAAAATCAATTGGTAAAATATGGTGTCATAAAAGAAAGCCAACATGGATTGACTAAAGAATAATCTTATCTTATAATCTGTTAACTTGTATTTTTGAGATGTTACTTGTCAGTTGGAAGATGGAATGGATGTGAACTTAGTGTAATGAGATTTGTAGGAAGTTTGGTAAGGTGTCGTACAAAGGTTAATCTAAAACTCGCATTGATGGAGGTTGGAAAATGACTTGTTGATTGGATTATAGGGTGTTTGGTTGAAAGGAAACAAACTGTTATTAATAGCCCAGTCAAACTGACCATTTGTTATTAATAGTGTGCCTCAGGTGTTGGTGCTCGGTGGCAAATAGTTCTTAGTTAGCGATGCTTGTTTGAGTACCTGTGCAGTCCTATACAAATATTGTCAACAATTTAAGTGCACAAAAGATTATTGAATAACCATGAAAAACATTTCCATATACAAAAGTACCATTCAGTATAATTAATTTATTATTTAAAGTTTTGGTAAGGTAAATGTGTACTGTTTTATTTAGTCTTCCTGATATTGAACAAGAAATTAACTTCAGATTCTATTTTTCTATTTGATGATGATAATAACAAAAAACAGAAAATTCTTGATGTGGGACAAAAATATTTTTGAAGTAAAATTTTAAGTATCTTTAATGAAATTGACAACAGAATACCTGTGCATTATTTATTATTATCAAATTATGTGATGCTCTGTATAAGAAATTAAAACCAGTAAATAGTTTGCATGACAGCTTTTAGGTTAGTTTTGAGAGTTGTAATTCTGGTTGAAAGTTTCTGCATAAGAGTTGCTAGTTTCACTTGTATGGTAAGCTGTTTTCCACACATTTTGATCTGCAGATAAAAATAATGATTTTAATCTACGAGTAAAGATATTGATAATACATGTAGGCAGTGCTAGATCAAGTTCAAAAACTGTAGGGTGTGAAAATAAAAAATTGACTTTTTTTTAATTTTAATTTTTTATTTATTCTGTACCTTACAAATTTTTTTTTAAATTCCGAATACAGAGTACAAATATGGTACATTGTAGAAAAATACATTAAAAAGAAACAAACTTAAATTTAGTTTTTAGAAAATGGAGCTTTACGAGCTTTTAACATGGCAAAATCTTTCCTTAATTTGCCTGTATTAATTTCTCTGTCCATTTCATTTCCTATAAAAATTACTGCTATACCGTTTAATCTCTTGTCCCATTGTGGAAAGCAAAAATGTTTTTATGAGCATTAGTCTCAAAAATGATCTTTTGCCACTTGCCAAACTAATGGGCAAAAGTAATGAAGCTCTTAGAGCAATAAATATATTTGGAAAAATTACTTTAGGCTTTCATATACGTAAGACCTTGTCTGAAGTTGAATTTTCTGGTATTCCAAATGATATTTACTGCAAGTTCTGCACACAGACTTTTACCACAAATGTCCCTTTTCTCTTTGCTTGTTAGTATGTTTTTGATATTTCCCCCCTTAAATTTTGCAGTGGTTTGTTTGAGACCTTTGAACCCACCTTGAGCTGGACCTACATGTAGGCCAATAATGTTAGTCAGTATAAGTTACATCTCTCCATAGAACAGATAATTAATATCTTGCACCACAGCAGAAAAGTTTTTGCTCATGCACAAAGTCTTTGAACAAGCTCTCACCCTTACACTTAATAATATGAGCTGTGCTTGTCTGTGATTCAATAAGCATTAGACTATGCTTTTCCAACAATAATGGGTTCAAAAATCCTTTATCTTCAGTACACCCCTTGCGTACTTTGTGTAAACCAAAAGATTATTCTTTTCTTTAACTCTTCAATGTTCAGTCATGTTATTTTTACATTAAAAAAATACAGAATTTTTGCATTCCTTTAATTATTTTTAACTTTCAGTTAACATCTGATTTGTTCTCTTTCTTCTTTGTGTTTTTCACTTTAAAGAAAGTTAAAAACAATAAAAAAAAATTACTAAATTAAAAGAAAAAGGTTTTGTGGATTGTCTAGACTTTGAATTCATATATCCATATTTCTTAAACCTCCCAAGGTCCAGACACTCCTCAGTAGGATTCATTCTCTACTGCTTCATTGGTGACTGGAGGCACTTTGAGAGCAATGTTATTGCCATTGCGCATAAAGTGGTTGGTTTCATTCTACCCTTGCCTCAAGTAAAGGAACCGCAGCCTCCTGCATCTATAGCTTCTGCTGAGCTTCCCATGTCTTTGTACAGTTTTGACCAACTCTTCCTACTGCTTGCTTTTGTTTGTGGTTCTTCTCTCCTCAGTGAGGATCAAGTAACTCCACCTATACTATTACCTATGGCTGGAATTTTTCTTTTCTCAAGCTCAAAACCCTTGAATCTCTTTTTCTGGTTTGAGGAACTTCGATTTTTGTCTGTTGTTTGCTCAGCTTCTTTTCTATCTCTCCATTGTTTTTCACAGTCTCCCTGATTCTCTGCATCATGACTCTGACCTGATGCTCTTCATCATGATTCTGACAAGCTTAGCTTGAGAAAGTACACATATCTCTTTTCTATGCTGCCTTTGATTTCTTCTTCAGCAGTTGCCCAATTAATTTGGACTTTTAGTTTCTAGGATTTGCCTGGTCAGGATGCCTTATTTTTTGGAGTTTTATTCCCCCAGTCTTATTTTAGGGAACACTGTTGGGCATCCTTCTTTTTTAAAGATGATGTTTTTGGGGGAATTCCTAATATTTTATAAACTCAAGCTTAAACACCGCCACCCCCATCCACTCCTGACAGGCTTGCCTTTGAGGGACTTAGAGGTGGCTTATTTCTGTAGCTGCCATGTGGTACTGTGGGAGCTCAAATGTCCCATTTGGCACACCTGTGGACTTCTTTTGCAGAGTGCCCTTGGGTTATCCAGGTACTTTCTAAGTGCCCTCTCCTGTCTTTATCCTTCTTCTATCTTCTTTTTTGCCCCTCAGATCCCCTGCATCTTCAGTGCATGGAGGAGGCTGTCTTCTATATAAATATAATTTTACACCCGATTACTGGTTAATGCTAAGTTTCTTTTTAAAGAAGAGAGCTTCTTTGAATAATAATTTCTCCATCAATGATTTTAACATTTGAAAAACAAAAGTGATTATTTTGAGCCATTTTTGACAATTCCTTTTACAGGTTTTC